CTTTGCTAATGCCAGTTCAAGGCCATTACGTCTTGTCTTACACAGTGTCGGAATGGGGAACAGATTATTACTCCCTTCCTCTCTGCTTTCTCCAGGTGTATCTTCACTCCTCAATGTTCTTAGACTAAGCAATACCAGTTCTTTTGTTTCCAGACCATTCCTCCTGCTCTCTGCTGGACTCACTTCAGTACAGTTGTTTTTAGAAGTGTGGTGCTTAAACCAGACACATTATTCTACTGAAGACCTTAGCAGTAGACAGAGGAATAGGAAAATTACTTTACACAAAGGCTAGATTTCAGCTTCTGCTACATACAACAGTGTCTTTTTTTTGTACAACAGTGGTATTACTGAATCATGTTTACCTTAACTTAAATGCAAACCCCAGAATCTTTCTCAAAAACACCAACTGCCCTACAGGGAGAGAGGCAACCTATGGAGATCACAGCACTTTTCCTAACTGAAACACTCCAGTTTCTTCAGATCATTTTCCCAAGATAATTTTGAATTCTAATCTGTCCCTACAAACACATCTGCAGTTCTTCCCAGTTTCATGTAATATGGAAATACAATATGTCTATATTCTTTCCTTAACTCATGCATTAATGAATGTATGGTGCAAAAGCAGATCCAGGATAAATTATTGAGGATTTATACAAAATACCCTCCCATTCTGATAGTGAACCAGAAACAAATAGTCTCTGCCTAGTTTTCTAACCAGTTCTGCATTCCACCTACAGTATATTCACAATGATCATATTCCACAAGTCCATTTACCTGAATATTAAATGAAACGGGACCAAAACTTCACTAAAATAGATCTTGACAGATATTAATCTAATTTCTTTCACTTTGATAATTTATCTACTCAAAGTTAAACTCAGACACTAAAATTCATCAACAGCTTTTCGGTGCTGATGAGTATCACTATTCACATGCAAATTAAGAAAGCAGGAGATTTCTTCCACTTTATATATGGAAAGCATATATGATGTCAGAATTGATTCAAGGATAGAAACCAAAATTTTCTGAATTTACTTGCAGCTAGAAATGTTTCACCTGCAAACATGTTTAAAATACTCAAATTTCAGATGTCTATACATTCAAAATAATACAACTTAGTCTGGCATAAAAACCTAAGACACTTAGCAAGTAGTAGATTATTTTCCCTTGATTCTCTGTAACTCAAATCACCCACCCCAAAAAATCACTAGGTGGCACTGCACATCAAACTGCAATACTTTCTGCACGACCAGAAATTCCAGAGGAGTTTAAGATACACCCTAAAGCACAGCATGTGCACATATTTGTGGCCTCACATAATTATTTCTTACAATAAAACTATTGGAACTGTCTATCTGAAGCAAGGATGATCTGTCTGTAACATAATTTACATTTTCAGGGACTAAGTATCACTCACAAGATCTAGTAAAAGCTACTGCCTATTATATTTGAAGTCACATATCTTTATGTAGGAATCACAATGTAATAATGAAGTGAATCACTCAGACAAGTAAGGACTATAAACAAGCATCTGACGAATCAGATAATACATTAGAGATTTTGTAGCTGTAATAAGTATTTTAGAAATACTCTCTTGTAAAAGATATCAGCTTATGGATGTAAATCCATGCCCGGCTAGCAAGGTACTTAGGCCCATTAATTTACACACATGCACCATCCAATTCTAGGTTTTCAGCAAACCCTTAAAATCACATCTGAAAATTATATTCAATTGAGGTAATAAAATAGGAATTATGAACTGTATATTCATCCCCGTAAGGATTAAAACAGAAAATTAAAATAAAGTCAAGTCCTTTGCCGGGGTGTGGGGGGGTGGTGGTTGTGAAACACTCCTCTTTGATTTGTGTTTCCTGTCTCCAACATACAGTTTTTGCAAAATTTCTGTTATTTACCTTAGCAATAAGTCACTTCTTTTACATAACTGCACTAAACCACAGAAAAAGATAATTTCTTAGATAAGGACAAAGTTCAAGTACCAGAGGCAGTGTGGGCACAGGTCTGTCCAGGTCACTTGACCCCAATGAGGAAACTGTATTGTTTCTAGTACCTGAGTATTTTGCAGTGCATTCTACCACATGTACAGCCTATGCAAAACCAGATTCTGATACACAGGGCAACTTTATGGGGGAGGAAGCAGTTGAGCATGTGAGTGGTACTTACCTGCCTGGAGGCAATCATTTGAAAAGCAGAATCTTACTATCAAGATACCCTGAGGAAGGAGTGGGGCTTATGCTAGTGCTGCCAAGCAATTTGAACACCCAGAAGGTCGCTAAAATAACTGTGCTGACCACACTCATTCTGGCACCAATTTGGAGAAACATTTGCATAAGGAAATGCACTGTAACCTGCAACTGGTATGGCATCTTCCATTTCAAGCAGTCACTCAAATAAAAGTCCTAAAGGCATTTGACCTGACCTATCAGCCAGAAATTACCTTGTTCTTATGCTGTTATCCAACTCTAAAAAAAGTCAAGATATACTTTTGTATAATTCAACAGAAAGAAATAAAATATGGCCATAAAGAAACTTTCTATGTGGACATGTATTTTAACAAACTCACATTTGTACTGTTATACTCCAAAGGAATTTTTCTAAAACTAGGTCTTCCTTTAAAGGCCAGTGCATCATCTATAATGCTATGACTGCCTAAATATAAGCAGATCTACATATATTTCTTAAGCTTACAAATAAAGAGCCAAATTATAACATTGAAAAAAACCCCACAACTTATTTTGCTGTATTCATGAAACTTAAGTCACTAACCAAGCATTAAAAAATTAAGCCACCAAAAAATACAAACCATTTTTCAAAATGTGGCCATGGGTGTTCAGCAACTACTTTATCTGAGCTAATAATAGAGGGTTTTACAATTTTTGAAATTTTAATTTTAAGAGTTAGCTCCTTTTTGCCATTTATGCTATTCAGAATATTTTTGTTCCTATTTAAAAAGATATTTAATAAAATAAAGTTCTGGACAACGATCAATCTCACTTGGAGAAATCTTTTAAATTAAATATGGAAGAGACAAAGATATCAAAATTAATTTTCAATCACAGTTTCTTAGAAAAATTAGGCTACTGCATTACCATTTAGTTAAAAGACTACAAACTAGAGTCTGGCCCAAAGCCCACTAATGTGAATGGAAAATCTCACACTAACTTCAAAGGACTTGGGATCAGTCCCTGTAATAACTACAGGAAAAACATTCCATTTGGGGAGATACAGCTTCATAGCAGTGGTTAATAAAGTCAATGTGTGTTTTCAGTTGTTGAAACTTTTTTCAGGAAAAGAGTTATACTGGGAAGCAAATAGATTCAATGGCCCAACAGGCTATTAAAAATAATAATAATAATAATAAAAAAGGTCATGAAGTGCCTGGGCCCTCAAGGTATCCTAGCATACAAGGAGGAACCCCATATTATGCCACCCTAACCTAATATGAAAAACCTCACTGTAGTACTAATTCTCTAGGTCTCAAGCTGGAAAGTTATTTTTACTATGACCTTTTAAGAAGCATTGAGAGAGATGAACACATTCAGCTGGCACAGTTTCTGCCACTGAAGCTGGGAGAAACACAGGTCCTCCTTGGGCAGCAGGAGGAAGCTCTTCAGTGACTGCTTCCATCACCTGCCACCCATGACAGTGGACACTGTCACCTACTGTTGAGAACCAAAGACTGCATTCACAAAGGGTAAACAACATGTTATTTAAGTTACACTCCTCAGTGGAAAGGCTATTAAAATATATATGCTATTTTAATACTTACAGAATTCATTCACAGTACACCCAATTTCCAAATAATGAAATGGGTTACCTCTATTATATGAAATAACCATAAAATTAAAAAAAAAAAAAAAAAGAGAGAGAAAAAAAAAAAAAAGAGAGAAAAAAAAAAAAAAGAGAGAGAGAAAAAAAAAAACAACAACACAAAAAAAGCCAACAAATATTTCCATTTATTTTAGGAAATTTCTCCACATCCTTAAAATCTGACACTATCCTTTTGAATAAGTAATAAATATTCACAGACAAGGCTCAAGTCACCTGCAGGTTCGTACATCTTCAATCCTATTTCCTATTTATTTTTTATTTCAAAAACGTAGTATTTTCCCCTTTTCTGAATGCAATTATTTCACAAAGAGCAAAGGAAACTGGCTAATAGGCTATACAAAAATAAATTATTAGAACTGAGTGTGTAAAGTAAGGGAAAAAGAGAAAAATATTTCCCTCTCATCATTTTCCAGTAAGAAGAGTTTAATCTGTTTCTTGAACCTATGAAAGATGTATAATTTCTGGAAAATTGTGATCTTTAAGTTGATGAAACTCACTGAAGTAAAAACTGCATTTACTTATCAGTGGCAATTCGAAGTAACTACAATATATTGTATAATTATAACTACAAATTAACAGAATATGTTCTAAAAGCCAAATAACAACAAAAATAGAAAACAGCAAATATTGGAGTTGCTATTATTCAAATCATGACACCAGAAACTAACCTCATTCATAAATTTTAAATTTACAATTTACTTGGTAATTAAAATCTACATATGAATTTTACATTATCTCACTATCAAGAGAAGAGCTGAAAACATTTTTTAAAACCCAATGATGCAATATTGATGAAAATGTATAGACCAAAAGACCAGGCTATGCTGAGGGTAAATCAAAAATAAGTTTTTATTTGTGAAAGAGAATTAATACTGGGGCTAAATTGCAAGTTGCTAAAGTCGGAGAAATAACTGCCCTATTGCCACATCTTTAAAAAAGATGTAAAGGCCAAGGTTCTAGATGCAGAAAACATTTTTTCATTACCACTATGTTCGATCAACTTCTATTTTACAGAAATAAAGATAAAGTAAAGCTCATATCCAGCACCCAGGTAATATTTCCTGCTAAATGATGTGCAAAGTATTATTGTCAAATTGGAAAATGCACTTGTAACTGTACAGAAAAGCAGCATCTTAATCCAGTATACTTACATTATTGCATTCTCCCAGGAAATACAGTGCAAATCCATCAGCTTTTGTAGCTGCCAAAGCAATAAAGAAATAATTGTGGTCACAAGGGGAAATTAAACTTACACAAGATCTCTGAGGTGAAACAACAGATTCAGTTCCACTTAGGACAAACATCTAGAATTCTAAAGGTGAAGGTCTGTTGCTGTGTCCCTTGAAACTTCCCAGACTCTACAAAGTTAGAGTATGAGATAATTCTTGTTTTCCCCATTGTCATTTGCTACAGTGTAACAGATAATTAGAAACAAGCTCTTTATACATCTTAGTCTCATCCAAGGCCTGTGTGTAAATTCAAATTAATTAATATGACAGTATAGAAGTAACATCAGAGCATGTATTTACAATACAATCAGCCAGATAACATTGGAATTTCCATAAGTAAAATAAATACCCTTTGTAGATGGTAAGCTATATTTGTCCTTGCCTTAAGATAGAAAATTATGGAAAAACTAAATGTTGCAAATATTGCCATAAGTATGTTTCAAAACAAACCATTTCTATTTTCTGCATCTGCCCCATATTAAAAACACTGACACACACCAGAAAGTTCATACTTATCAGATTTCTGCCAGATTCAGATTGTTGTATAAAACAGAATAAAGTCAAGAGTATAGTCAAGTTCTTTAAATTCTCAGACATCATAACATATTGCTAAAATGAAAACTCTCAAAATCAGAAAAGTATATAAGCAGTCAGTGTTTTTTACTCTGCTTGACACAATAGACTTTGATACTTTGTATGTCTGTTGGTCTTTCCAACAATTAATAAACATTCTAACAAGTAAATGCACATATCTGATACTTGATTTTTATGAATGAATACAAGAACCCATTTAGTACATTTCAGGTGAGTGATTATATTTGTATGTAATCAAATAAATTTGGTTTCTGCATTTCTTTGACAGAAGGAAAAAAATTCCCAATGTGTATTTACTTGCTTATTGTCAACTGTGTTACACCAGTGAGAGTTCAGTGCAGGGAAATGTGCATTCAGATTTTAAATCCTTTAGCTGTAGTATGTCAGCATGTTGAGTTACAAGGCAAATGGACACTGTAAAGGGAGCATAATTTGTTTTTAATCTAATGTGCTCTACAAAAGAAAAAAAAATGTAAAAGATAAGCAGAACCTGTCTCTTGAAGCTTTTTGCTTCCTGTGTACAACAAAATACAGTCTGATTTGCTGTGGGCTGGATATCAATATCCAAATAACCACTTAAGCAAAATCAGTAAAAAGAAGCAGTCCTTTCAAAACATCATGTATATAAACCAGGAAGTATCAGAGATGGTAAAACCTTCCTTAGGAGTTCACTGAATTCTATATAGAACAAAACTACTGATATTCATATTGAAGTCTAAGTACCTCCACTCTGATTAAAAAAAAAAAAAAAAAAAGCCAAATTACATTTATATTGTTATTGCAACTTTTAAACTTTTTATTGTATATAGTATTTTCTTACCACAAAAAGTACTTTCATCAGACAGAAAAAATGGTTTAACACTGAATGTAATTTGAAATCATGCAAAAGATATGTCCCCTTTGAGTAACATCTCAGCTTTGCTTCAAAAGGAGTTCAAGTATGCAGTGATAGTGCTGATAGATGTTTTTACTTTCAATATTGGCATTGCAACACCATCAAAACCAAAAAAGCCTATTTTTTGGGTCATTTAACAGGGGACTCTAATTTTGCAATTGGATATACAGCTGCCTCCAAAGATGAAATTCACTGAAGTGCAGCCAGGGATTCACTGAGGGACAGAAGGGGCAGTTCATACTGAGAAACATCCAAAGAAAGAACTATTTCCCTCAACACCTGTCGTTATTAATTAAACCATGTAAAAAATATGCTGTGCACTGATGCTAACCAGAACCAGACATGCCTGGTTCTCTTTCTTACCTATTTTAATGATGCTGCTCAGTTCATACAGAAGTAGTTGGTTATCTCCTCCTGTATCCAGGCGCTGCTCTATGTAGCTATTCAATTCATACACCACACCTTGCATATTCGTATCCTGGTACTACAGAAACAAATAAAAAGAAGAACAGTTCAGAATACCTCAGATGTATTTTGCAAATTTTAAACATGTACATTAATTTAAAATAATACATTGAGATTGCAATAACAAGTCAATCGTGATTGTCCTAAGCCAGCTTCCTGAAGAACTGGGTCGCTGCTGAGCAAGAGGCACAGCACTTTCTTTGCTCCATTAGATATTTGTTAGAAGTGTACCAAGTACACCAGTGAGCAATTAGTAATCGTCTGAACTTGGCCAAGGTCACATGACAAGGTCTCAAGAAGAAATTAGATTCAACAATCATAAGGTAAGTAACCTTCCTCGCCTCGCTTTTAAGTGCCTACGCCACCACAAAAGAAGGCAACTAGCTACCTCTAACACCATCTTCCACCTCAGATTTATGAACCAAATTAAAGAACTGTGCTAAGCACAAGAGCTTTGAGGTGGCAGCTCCAGGAGCTCAGCCTTTCAAATGCAGCAGCAATTAACAGCAACAGACTGAAGGACAGAAATTGCAGGAGTTGAAAACACGTTAGCCACCGTCGCCTAACAGGCATTTGTTTCATCAGAAGAAGGCAGACAGCCAGAAAGGGATTATGAATCAGTTAGGATATTTAGATGGGAGCAATGGGGTGCTGGCTGCTGGCAGGATAAAACAGCATGACATGGCTAAAATCTCGTAAGAAAGGAGATGCAGCCTCCCTTCAGGGGCACAGCTGCATTTGGTTATCCTGTTCCTGTGTCCTGAAACCAAGCCCTGAAGGACTGATAAAACTGGCAAGTAAATGTGCATGTGTAGTATGACAGCATCACAAACAATAATTTCACAGAAAGCAATACTTGGCAGTAAGTAAAGATTCATTATTCTGCCCAAAATTGGTAATGTGATAACTGAAGAAAGTAATATGGTTAATTAGTTATTGAACTCAGTGATGCAGTAAATCATGTTACTTAAACTAAAAATTAAGTGGGTGATATTTACATGAATGTTAATTGAAAGACTATAACTTATTCTCCTGCTCACTCATACTTCAGAGCCAAATCCAATATAGTCCAGACTAATGTAAACTGGACTCTGGAAAAAGCCATGAAAGTTTAGAGTACTGGAGTCTAGTCACCACTCCCACGTTCATATACATGTTTCTCCCCAGATCTCTGTCTGGAACTTTGGGTAAACTTGTATGTGACACTTACTGATGGATTAAACATTTAATTTGCGCAATATATTCCATTATAAAACTTTTAATCCCCATATTACTTTCATTCATTTCTACATACAACACACTATGTAATGAATACAGAGCATATAGCCATACATTTAGGATACATTTGGCTTCATCTCAGAAAAGCCCTCACAAACTCCACCAACAAAAAAATGCAAGTGATTGCTGGATAATACCAATTCCTAATTACTTTAAATTACGTAGATCTTAATCTTGACTCTAAAATAGGTCCTGAGAACATACAATCCTTGCCATGACCTCTTCTTCACACATGGATTTGTATTGATCTATTGCTCCCAATGCACATATTAGAACATTTGAGACTTCGGGTATTCAAGATGTTCTCAATACGTAACAAACTTAACACTTAATAATTCTTTCTATAAACTGATGTGATGATTATAAATTTTGACAGCAATGTAAGGTCACACTGCATACATGCATAAACTTCTGTAAGCCTTGAGTTCACAGTACAGCATGCCATTGCCATTACTAGCACTATATAGCAGCTGATAGGCTTCCATTGACTGTCCTCTGTTGTGTCCCACACTTACTACTGTATGATTCTTCAAAGGGACAAAAACAATAACATAGTTTCATGAAAGTGGAATTTATATACTTACAATATAGCTGTAAGTAGCCATTTAACAGAAAAAAAATGGTGATATAGAGCTTGTACTATTCATACATGTTAATGCATATCTGCAAACATATGTGTAGCCACATATCTTAAGGCAACACCAGCTGATCAAGCACACATGCACAAAGCCTCTATCAGGTGGAAAAATATCTTCTCAGAACTTGGAAATTAATACGCATCTCCTCGCCTGTGATGCACAGTTAGGATTTAAATTGAATCTTCAAAGGTTAAAGCTGATACATTAAGAGAACACATCATCAAAATGAGCCCACTGGCATTACAGCTGTGGCACAATAGTAACTTTTCCTGTAATCAAGAAGCAGTTCCACATGCATAGGAATCACAAAATAAGCTATGTGCACTTTACCCTAAACTCTGCAACCTATGCTTGCAAACATTTTGAAAGCAGGACAAATCATTGCATGAATCCATGTTACTACAAAGATGGTAACTGCACAATACATACAGTTGTAATATGGCAGATTTCTATTACTGACAATCTGTGGATCCACAACTGGCCAGATGAATAGAATTTGTCCAGATACACAAGTAATTCTGTGACTTAGCTCAATCATCAGCAAAGAATTAATCTGTCATGCTGTAAAATGGTTTTATTTATATCACAGTGGAGTGAAAGAGGTTCATTTATTTGGTTCTAGGCCTTTTAGATTGGATAACAACAATTATGCTTGGTTGAAAAGCCACAATATTCTTTATGAAACCATGCATTTAAATACTCAATAAGTCATCAGTAAACCTTGGTACAAGCACTATACAATGCAGTTGCTAACACAGACGTGCACAGATTTGATGTAAAACATAATTTAGTAAAGTAATTCCTCAAAAAAAAATCAACATAGTTGGTGGAAAAAGGGTATTTATCTGTCATAAGATATAGTGTAAGTATTCTTTTTTAATTTTTATGGCAGTTTAGTTAGTAATTTAAACACTATTAATACTCAACTCCTTTTACTTTATTCGTTGTTGCCATTGATTATTTCCTTCTATTTAAGATTTGGTGTCTACCGGTTATTTTGTCATATTTATTTTAAAATTCTGAATTTCAGTGACTTCACATTAAAATCATTAAAGGGGACTAAAAACTGGCTTAGCACTATCATGCCAGTATTGTATTTCTGGTAGCTGCATGTATTATATGAAAAAGAGGTGATTATTTAGAAGGTAAATCCTGTGATTAATATTCAAATATAAATAGGAGAAAAGGAAGATTTTGCAGGATTTATATAAAAATATTTCTACAGTTAGTTGTCTTCATAATATTGTGGTCTAATAGAAGACTACAACTCAGGTGCTTTAAAAGTAATGCTATGACTTAGATCTAAACAAAGAAGCTTAGAATCACAAACATTTTGATCCATGAAAACAGATACTAAAATATCATAGAGTGAGATGAATTTTTAACATTCATTTTGAACAAGTAAGTCACATAAAAAATATTCAAGGACACAATTTCACATCTAAAGTAATTTTTATGTATGACAAACTGAAATGAAGATTGATTTCCATGCCTTCATGCATATAGGGTAGCTGTGGCAGGGACATTTCATGCTCCTGCAGAAACCAGAAAGCACTTCTGTAGCAACAAAAAACCCTCATTAATACAGCACAGGGTCAGTAAGTGCCAACATAATCCAGAAGTGGATCTGTTTTCTTTGTAACTTCTTAAAATGTCTTCCGAATAGCAATGAGATCAAGTTCCTAAATAATACTCACTCCTGCCTAGACGGCCCTTTCTCCACAGCAACAATTGCCTGGTTCTGCAATAGACACGTCCTTTTTTACAGACCTCATAGTGTATGATGTTATCGGGGGGGG